TGGCGCTCAGATGTGGTGGCGCGTCGCTCGAAGGGGATCGGTAGCATGGGGGCCGCCCCCTCCCGGGGCCACAGGTAACGACAGGAGCGCCGCCCCACCCCCAACCCGGTGTCAGGAGAAGAGGTGGCGGCAATGGGGCCGGACAGGGACAGACAGCCGCAGTCCCAGGCATGTCTTCTCCCCACGTGGGCCTGGGCCATGCGGGGGACACTGGGCACGTCGCCGGGAGCGGGGGCATCTGGGATGCACGGGGTGCGTCCCGCAGAGGGAAAGGGACGAGCGGGGTTGCTTGGGGGTGGCAGGGACCCTGCACCATCTCCTCAGCTTCTGTCCAGCTCCTTTACCTCGGGATGGTGCCAGCAGCTGGGGGACTGCTTCTCTGAAGTGGGGTTGGTTTCATCTTACTGCAGTGTGCCTGCCAACAGCATTGCTCTACAACAGAGGCAGCAACCATTTACTAGAGAAGTAAAATCTTTTGAGCCCTAGATGATCAACAGATACAATATTCTCCTCTTCCACAAATACTCTGAACCCACAGCAGCCCAACCACCCCCTCCAGGCACCCGCAGGCTTTGCCTGCCCGGTGGAGAGCAGAGCTTCCCAAGAAGGTACCTCATCCTTCTCCTGTTGGGCACTGACTTGGTTAGAAAGGGTGTTGGCCCATGATTTCACAGTAAGGCAGGACTAGGCCCTTTGAGCAGTGGTTTTCAATGGTATGTCCCATTGGCCTACCCAGCCTGAGGTGCTGGGACTCTTCCTTGCCACAGTCACCAGGCAGGCTGAGCGCTACGGCAGTCTGGTGTTGGATAACTCCAGATTCCCCAGGCAGCCCGAGGTGGAGCCAGGCCCTCCTCTGTGCTAACACCAGGCATGACACCTGTGCGAAAGGAAGGGGAAAGCCAAGGTAGCCGCAGTTGCAACAAGGTACTAGTAGGCTCCAAAATATAAGCCTGGCATTGGGGAGTAATTTAAACAAGGTCAACGTGTCATGGAAATGAGGCTCATCCCTTAGTCAAGGGTTGACTGCCACAACACACTCTCCAGGACAACAGCAAAATCTCCATTTCTTGAAATCCTCAGGATCATGAGACTTTCTAGAAGGCACATTTTATTCAAACACAAATTATTTGGCTTAATGCCTTAGGACTGGATGGAATTATACAGCCTTGTAACACGAGAGGTCAGGTGGATGATTTAATGGTCTCTTCTGGCCTTAAGAAACGTTAACTTGGCCAATTCCCGCCCGCCGATACCGAGTCATCCCCACTGCCGCGAGAGCCCCGTGTGGGGCGGGCGAGTGTGGGTGGGAAGCCGCCCTCTTGGAAGCAGCCGCTGGCTGTACTCTCAGCTGGGAACCGCCCACTTAGCGCTGCCCCCGGCTCTCCGTGCCCACCGAGGGGCACTGGCCGAGAGGAAGGGGCAGCGAGGTTGTGGGGGAGCATTACACGGGACGGGGGAACCTGCCTCGGGCGCGGGGTCTCAAGGCGCGGAGGAGAGAGCACCCCGGAGCTGTTCCGAGGCCGTTGGAGCTTCCACCCTGAGTAACAGCCAGGCGGGATGTCCCTCCGGCATGGTCTGTCCCCATTCCCGAAGGGCCAAGCCTCAGGCACGAGACCCCGTTTAGCATCAACCTTCACTCCACGCGGGGGGCGGGCGGTGGGTCTGAGGGTGCTGTTGCTGCTGAATTTCCAGGGAGGGGGAGGACTGTAAGTGCCACCTGACCCGCCGCTGCGCTCTGGCGCCCGCGGGCGCGGACTGCCCGGCCCGCGGCGGTGGCGGGCGGAGAGCGCTGCCCCACCGAAACGCAGGTGGAGCGTCCCTTTCGGGGCACCGGGCAGTGAACCTCGCGGCTGAGGCGCTCTGCACGGAGAAATGGGTGCATGCAACCTGCCGGTTCCCCCGGGCGGAGAGGATGTACCTCTGGCAGGGAGAAACCCAGGCACCTCTGCCCCCCACCGCGAGGGTGCGCAGGCAGCCACGCCGCCGGGCAGCCCTGGCCGTGGCACCTCTCATCGCCGTAGGACACCGCCAAGGCTGCTGGGCAGTGCCGTGGAGTCAGCAGTGGCTCCCCGAACCCATCCTTACCCAGCTCTCCCAGGCAGCGCCAAGTGCTGACACGTCTGTAGAACGAGCGTTTACGTTTACAGTGCTGGGACTGGAAGGACATTTACAACAAAACAGTCCAGATTCCTGAGGACATTTTCTCTTCCAGCTGCTTTCTAAATATAGCACACGGCAATGCACTACCCAGCACCGCATCCTCGTTCTGGCACTTAAGGAAATTCAAAGTCAAGCTGGAGAAAAAAATATGGAGATAAAGACATATAAAGAAAAACAAAATTAAAATTAGCATCGAGTATTTAAAATCCACGTCTGCATTACGGTCACCCGAATAGCGAGAAGGACCGACTACTCGTATTTTAAACCAGCTGTCTTTTCCACGGAGACAGTTGCTTGCCTCATGACCCATCGATAGCTTGTTAATACAATTTAATTCTGCAGTTGTTTCTGTTTAAAGAGTGTTTGGAGCGAATTGTTTCTTTTGTTTATGATCAAACAAACGAGGTCTGGTAATCTTATGTTTTATCTTCCTAACATATGGAAAAGCTATTTATCCCAGCCAATCACAATAAAGTGAAGAAAACCCCATTTTATGGAAAGGTATATATCACAAGTTTGTTCATCATTAAAGATATGATTACCAGTGAAAACCCTCCGAAAGTGGCACATTTATGATTCCAGGAACAGATGGGGACATCCATTTTCCTTGCAAATACTTTTGAAATTGCTCTACTGGTAGCAGTATAAAAATGATATACAGATGCCAGTGCCAACGAAGCCGGGACAAGAGGTCCAGATTTACACAGTAAAAGCTTCACATGCGCTCTGTCAGCTTTGATTGATCTGCGCTATACCTCAGAAACTTGTTGACTGGGAAAGGAAACAGTGCAAATAATTCACTGCAACAAGGCAGATAATTCACCCGGCCAATCGCTCCGCTCCGCTCCTCCGGGCGGTGACATACGAGTCCTCCTGCCGCACAAAGAAGCATCATTCTCCAGCGTGAGCAGCGGTCGGTGTCACGGAGAGGGGGGAAGAGGGGGAGAGAGAGAGAAAGAAAGGTGGGAGCAGTGCACACAAAAGAAGAGGCGAGAAAGGAGAAGTTGCTTTTAGGCTATGGGCACAGCCATCTACCTTTTCCGTGCCGAGCCCAGGCCGAGCCATTCAGCCTCAATTGTCATTATCATATTGATTAAGTTCATCAGAGAGCAATTTTAGGTTTAACGCCAGCGGATTCGGAGAGGGAGCAAAGAATTATCTAAGAACAGCACAACATTCTTACCTCAGGGACGTTTCCCTGTTCCAGTTCATTGAGGGAGTTGATTAAGTTTAAATGAAGCAGACACTGGATAAAAGTAAGGGTATTGACCACTGGGCAGCACGGTCTGCGCTTGAAAAGGCCTGATACATGCAGAAAAGCAAGATTTGCTAAATGCTCTAATCTTCAATCAAATCTTACATCAATACAGACAAAGTTTGGTAATGAGAGATTCAATGAAGCATGCGGAAGAAAGAATTAATCCTCTTGGTCTAAACTGGGTTCAACTTTGAAGCCTGCTCCGAAGGAAAGACAGTTATCTAAATGCTAAATAAGAAACTTATTGTACTTTTCATGGCATGCTAATCTTTTGTCTATTTCATCTCTATTATTTGTATGCTTATAGGCGGCAGTTGTCATGGTGATTATATCAAACCACTTCTGTGTGGATGGCTGCGAAGAATCAGGGCCTCCCTCCAGCCCTCCGCCGGGGCCAGCCCGCCCGTCCGCTGCTCTGCGCGCCCGCGGCAGCGCCCCGCACCCGCGGCCGGCCCCGCACCAGCCCCGCCGCTCGGCCTGCGGGGACACGGGCGGGGCAGAAATCGCCTCCCTGGCACCGGAGGCGTTTTGTCAGTACCGGTCCCCTCCTCCTCCTTCCCCCACATCACCCAACCCAAACCGCAGCGATCTCCTTCCATGAAGAGGTGCTTTTTTTTTTTTTTTTTTTTTTTTTTTTTTTTTTTTTTTGGTGAGCTTGCCTTGATAAGCTTTTGATGTCACAAATCAAACACTCGCCAGGAGGTAGATAATGGGGAGTGTGATCTCCTTTATTTGTACATAGACGGCGCTTTTGCACCGGCGCTGCCGTGAACCAGTGTCAAACTCCCTGGGCTTTGTTGGACTCTGCCCGCCGCCCCCCGGCCCGGAGCCCGGCTCTGCGGGGGGGCCACCCCGCTCCCCGCCCGGTCTCACCGGGACCCGCAGCTCCCCCGGGCTCGGGCAGCCCCTGACAAGGGGAATTTAGATTCATGTTATGCAAATGCCGAGGTGAGCTCAGACACTCTAATCGCGCAAGGTTTGGAGAAAAAGAAGAGGGCCGGGAAGAGAAGAAGAGCGCAAGGATTTATATTTTCGGGGGGGGGTGTTTTGTTTTGTTTTAACTCCACGTTGCTAACTCGAAGGCAGGCAACGGGCTCCGGCCCAAGGGCAGCGGTGCCGGACGTGCTGGGAGGACCGGCCCGCTCCGGCAGCCCGCGCCCAGCGCAGCCAAGTAGAGCTATCGTGAGAGGGGGTGGAAATTCCCAGGGTATCAATCAGACTTCCTTACTTCTGATACCCGTGAGGGACTAACGGAGGCTTTTTGAACAGCTCCGGAAGGGAGGGAGCCAACTCAAATAGGTGGGTGCGAGATAGAGGGAGCCTTCCCCCGGCTTGTCCCCTGACATTATAATCTGAGCGCACAAGGGTGGCACCCGAGCTTTTATGTCTTTTACAAAAGTTGCCAAATTAAGGTCGGATTAGGGCTCCCTTCAGGATTTGTGGGCTCTTTAGAGGCTGGGAGCTGCCGGTATAGCTCGCTAGTGCTTATGAAAAGCTTAAAAAGTAATAAAAGGGGGAGTGATCCCGAGAGAAAGTAACATGTATAACTCTTATTAAAGGAGCAGCGAGTGGGGCTGTGAACTTGAATAACTGTTTGAACTTTAATTTGTTCATTAACAGGATTTGCCCCTGACTGTGAATGTTATTACTTCTCTTAAAAGCGAGGTGCAAATGCAAAGCCATAATGAAAGAGCCTGGCAAAAAGTTAAACGCCTCGTAATTACACTAGCCTCATTGAAAACTTAAAGTAACACAAAAGTGAAGAAAATGCTGGTATTCCCAGCGCCCCAGCCTCGCATCACGGCGGCGGCGAGCTCCGGGCCCCAGCTCCCGACCCCATCAACTCCCGATAGCTCCCTATATCCGTATGTGAAACGGTTGTGTTTAAACAAGTGTAAATCACCTTTAAATCATTAAAAGAAAATTCCATGTTTTCCTAGGTGGGTGAAGCCTGGTTTATTCCTCTAACTGTTCTAAGTCTTGAGTGAAACGTGGTGTCTGAAGCCTGATCTAATCTGCATGTGTGTATCCTAAAAAGGGCACATTAGCTCCTCTCTACCCCATCACACCGACAGTAGATAAAACTCTGGAGAACCGGAATAAAACAAACTACTACTCCTCTCAGAAGGTATCTGACTTTGTACCGATGCGTTTGCCAGTTAGCTCCGCGCTGACTGTCGTTTCATCTGTCAGTTATCCCTTTCCTTGGCTTGTCAACTGCGTTTTTATAGATTCGCTTGTGATTGCATCCTTCCTCAACAGGAACATGCAGCCAGGTCGCAATTAAATATACAGATACGCGAGCTGTTAGCAAGATTCCACCCTCCCATCCGCAGCCAAGCCGGGGAGATGATTGCCCTGTCACTTCTCCTTTAGACTTGAAGCGCCTTAAAACTCGCCGGCAGAGCGCCGCTTTCGGTAGCCCGGCGCTTGCTTTGTCCGCCTCTTCTCGCCACCGACGGCTCCTTTCAAGTTCTCACTTCAGCAGCTCCCGGCGGCGCTGAGCCCGGCGCCCCTCACCGCCCCGCCCCGCCCCGCCGGCGCGGGGTGCGCTCCTCGCCCGCGGGAGGGTTTGGCCGGCTTTGGGGGTTCCCCACACTGGGAAGACACCCCGAAAGCGAGGGACAAGAAATACTGACGTGCCCTGGCAAGGCCTGGAGCTGCCGCACAAGCGGGGCTGTGCCATCACCGCCGGCAGCCGGCAACGCCTCCGGCCGTCCGGATGTGCCTTCCAGCGTAGGTGGACACGGAGGCTCCCGATCGAGCCAGGTTTGCAGTCATGTGTCAGACCAGCGGAAAAGCAAGACGGCGCTTCATAAAGACAGCAGGTGTGAAAAATCTTCTACTAGTTTAAAGTACTTTCTTACTTCTACAGCTGCCTGTACAATAAGAAGATTATTCTACTTTAACACTAACAAGGGGAACACCTTCAATTAGACCACCATAAATAAATAAATGCCCTATTTTATAAATCTAATTATTTACTTTTTACATTTTCAGCACCATTATACTTATTAAAAAAAAATAAACAAAAAAACCAAAACAGCCAAACCCCCAAACCAAACTATTTAATCGAACTGGTACTCAGAAAAAAAAATTATTATATTATTCACAAAGTAAGTAACTTCAACTCTATTTGTCCATATCTGCATGGACAATCAGCGCTGTCACCCCAGGGAAGATCTGTAAACCCAGCAAATCCAGCTACCATTTGAGAAGCAATAAACACAGACTGGACTTGACCAAGAAGACATCAGACAGGACAGGGATACCATTTTCTGTACGTCAGCTCATCAAAATCGTTGTACTAACCTGGAACTGGAAAGAAACTATATAAAATAACCAGGTCCCAAGACAGTAGCACCTTAGCCAAAAACAACCTCCTTCCTCTGCACCCGGAGATGAAGCAGCAGGCTGGGCAGGGCATGAAACATGGGTGGAGTGTGTTTTCTGCAAGAAACAGGGCCAAGTCACACAGTGCCATTCGGTGCCACATCTAAGTGGCCTTCAGCTCCCATCGCCCTGCCACCGTATCACAAAAACTCTGCGCACAAGCGACAGGACACTTATCTGATAGTGCCCCTGAAGGAAGAGTCCCAGCCTTCTCACCAGGCAGACGAAAAGCATTCCTGGCAAGGGTTGCTAAGTAATGCGTACCCAAGCTGTAATCTGGTTACTAAACAGCATGACAGCGTCCCGGGAATAGGAGACTTACCACGGCCTTGGCCGTGCAATGACCACACACAGAACAGGCTGCTGTGCTCACACTGCTGTACCGTGATGTGACTGCACAGGATCAGGGCAGGAACTACCACTATGTCGTTAGTTCCCCCCATCTAATCTCTGACGATTGCTTTAGATGTGAAGATAACGTGATACAGCTCAGATACATCCAAGGCTTCATCACGCACTGATTAAATTGTTCAACTTCACTGAGTAGACTTGATTAACTGCAAACTTGGAGCTGGATATCACCTTCATATGAGCACCACAGGTTTACCTACAATTGGAAAGACTACCCACAGGCTGGCAGGAGGATGGCAAAATGGAGCCTGCCAGAGCCCCCCAGAGTCCCCTTGGCTGCAGAGGCTACTGAGGCTTCTCAGAGAGCAACTGTTTATGGGAAAGCAACACCCTCAGCAGCTCATAGGCCTGAGGATGTGTCATCTGCTGGTCAGGAGTCCATCAAAGTGAGAAAAGATTTTTAAAAATAAGTAGGGCATCTATTGGCTCACAAGAGATATTTTTCATCCTGGGCAGGGCAGGGTGCTCACTGCTCCCAGCAATGCTGGGGTGAGGGTTAGGCTATGGGGGTTTGTTATCAGGGTACAGGAGTGCTTTGCCACAGCTTCTCCAGGCTGGGGTGGGTTGAAAGATGCACCTTCTAGCTTCTGCCCCAGTACATCACTGGCACCCTCACCTTTGGAGACAACATGAATTCTGCTTCAAAATAAGCACTGGCAGATCAATCCTCTGTGTATTTCTGATCATATAATGCATGCAATTCGACCTGCAAGATATATGGATTGTAACACTTTCATAAATCAGCATTTTACACAGTACATTCTGCTCCTGTGAGCTAACCTTGTCTTCAGAGCTGACAATTCCCAGCATCATCGCTTTGAAGCATTGAAATGGTGAGTTGGCAATCTACTGAGCCAGAATGTACATCTGAAAATAAGTATATAAATACTGTACAGTGCATCTGGAGTTGATTTATGAAATAGTTAGGAGTTAAATTCTTGATATATTAGCAAAAATAACTAGAGCTTTAAAGCCAAGAGGCCCTTAGGCTGTAGTGAAAAATCATTGATGTAGGAAAAGCATCTGTATTTTGATGACAGTGCTATCTCACAGGAAAAAAAAATCATAAAACTGTTTTTCCTTCCCGCAGATAAAAAATAAAAGTGATTTTGCACCAGCTGCGTGAAACGCTTCCTAGTGAAGCGTTTGCATTTTAACTTCCGGTTATTGGCGATCCAACTTTATATCGCCGCGTGAAACCGCCTGCTTCTTCGCAGAGAAAATAATGAGAACAATGACAAACAAAAGCAAGTCCCTGTCCGGCAGGAGCCTGCGTGGGGGATTCCCCGCTCCCCGGGGGTGCGGCAGCCGGCGGGGCTCCCCGGCGCGGCGGGAGCGCTGCCCGCCGCAGGGAGGGAGGCCCGCGGTGCCCCCCAACCTGCGCGGCCGGGGCGGGACGGTGCGGGGCTTCGGCACCGCCACTCGGCACTTCGCTACGGAATTACCCCAGCGCCCTCTGCGCGTACAGCCTTTTTTTTTTTAATATATATATATATAAATATATTAATGAGCTCTGTTGTATAATTAAAATTAAAATCGTTTTTAGGGGAATTTTTTTATTTCCACGCGGGGACTGCAGTCCGCAGGTAACGGTAGCAGCAGGGTGGCACCTGCGAGCATCGCCGGCGCTGCGTCACCGCGGCTCCAGCGCCGTGGCTGCCGGGGAGGTGTCCGCGGCCATCCGAGTCCCCGGTCTAGCTCAACAGAGACATATATTTATATAGATTTGATAGGTATAAGGAAACAATCTATCTATTTTTCTCGTTAGCAAGGTTCCCCAGCAGGCTGTGGGGACATGGGGAGCCTGGCGGGGCGGTGATCCCCGCCTCGGCGCCGAGCGGCGGGGTCGGCGCTCCGCACCGGCTCAGCGGCCGCAGGGAAGGGCCCGGCCCGGGCGGGGCGGGCGGCGGCACGCGGTGCCGGCGGCGGGGCAGGGGGAGCGGTACTCACGGAGCCGCGGCCCTGCCGGGGCAGTGGGGCAGGGGGAGCGGTACTCACGGAGCCGCGGCCCTGCCGGGGCAGTGGGGCAGGGGGAGCGGTACTCACGGAGCCGCGGCCCTGCCGGGGCAGTGGGGCAGGGGGAGCGGTACTCACGGAGCCGCGGCCCTGCCCGGACGCGGAGCGGGCGCGGAGCCGTCGCCGCCGCCGCCGCGCGGGAGCGGCGCCCCCTGGCGGCCGCGGGCGGAGGCGCCGCAGCCCCGCCGTGCCGGTGCCGCCGCCGCCGAGGCGGGTCCGTCCGCGGGCCCTGCTTGTCCTTCCCGTGGCCGCTCGTGCCGCGCCGTCCTCGGGCGGAGGCGATCAATTAGCGCCGCCGGGTCAATCGCTTCACGCCGCGTCACGGGGGACACGCGCATCAGGCGCCCGCCCGGGAGGTGCGCCTCCCGGCCCGCAGACACCGCGGCTCCGCGCCGCGCCCGCGGGCCCGCTCCTGTCCCCGCTCACAGCTCCCGCCGGGATCCCCGCCCAGGCACAGCCCAACTCACCTGGCCCGGTCGCCTCCCCTGGCTCGACTCGACTCGGCTCGGCTCTGCCCGAGCAGGGAGCCGCCCGCTTCCCCCCCCCCCCCCCCCGCCCCCGCATCTGGAATCCTCAATCAAGAGCCCAATTTTGTCATTTGGAAACACTAATTATCTAATCACGCCACGCTGCAGAGCGTACTTGTCTGCCCAATTAGCTAGGACAATTATTAAAATTCGGGGGCCTAATTATGTCTCAATTTAATGCTGGCAAACTCGCGCACAGCGCAGTAATTAAAATCCTCCCCTCGCCTCTGCCTTTAGGGCAGCGGCTGATGGGACCTGTCAGGGGCCGCGCCGCGTCGAACCAGCCGAGCGGATTGTGCTACATGACCCCGCATTGTTAAGTGTGTCAACATATTAACCTGAATTCCCTTCAGCCCCCGTAATCACATTTGGAAGGAGGAAGAAAAGGGCTAAAACATGAAGCATTTTATTAAAAAAACATAAATTCTTTTTAATTAATGCTGTAAGAGATCTGACGCGGCTTGAGCTACCAAATGCTGCAAGTCATATAAGACTGGTGCTTCTAATTACCAGTAAAGGAAGGTTTGCTCTTCTCTGTTAAAAAGACTTCCCTCTCCTCTCATTTAAAGAAAATGATCTTTCTTTTGGGTAGTGTATTTTTTAAAACCCAGCTAGTTGGCTTCCAGTGATAAAGTTGATTACCAGTTTTTTGTTTGATGATGGAGCACAAGTGAATATTGACTTCGCAAGAATCAAACAGACGACCGGAGGCATAAATAAAACGGTCAGGATTTAACACTTGAAAGAAGTTAATAAAGTTGAAAATTAAAAATCATAATATTGGGATAATTTCTAAATATTTATTTTTTCTCCGCTCTCAAATTTGATAGGAAGTCAGTGCTAAAACACAGACAAGAATTGGAGTTAACCCTGTCATCTGCATTCCTGCCTAATCTAGCACAGGCACCTGCCACGGACAAGAAGTCCCTGAGCCCACATCCCTCTGTGATGGCCACCGCAGGCACAAGACTGGTCCTCTGGCCTTGCCAGCAGAAGCCTTCCCTTTTAGCACATTTCCTTTTGACTGCCAAAGAAGGTGGTTCCTTCATCTCCAGTTAGTGAGTTCTCCGCTGTTTGGGAATACAGAAACAAACCTTCATTCCCTGGACAGGGAAGGCCTGTCTGATGTATGGGAGGGAGGGAGAGAGGGGGCTTCATCTCCCACAGTGCATGCCCTACATCTTGGAAAAGGCCTTGCTCCCAGTCTCCTCAGATGGTAAACTGAAGTGCAAATCTGTGTTCTGGCTTGTTCCAGTGGCTGTCAGTGTGTTTTCCTCTTGTCAGCAGCAATTGACTGGTGAGGTTCACCCTTGTACAGTGATTGTAACAGCTCATTGACAGACTAGTGACCCAGCCGGACCCGATAATGGAAAACTATTGATTTCTGTGGGCTCAGCAGTTCTAAAATGAATGCCCAATATAATGTCATCAGCTGTCTTGGACTCAGATATCCCTTGGACTTGGATAAAGAGATAATTGCCCATCCTGGCAATTTACTTGCAAAAAACATCCTGGATACAAACAATGAAGTGGCCTCTCTCAGTTTCTCTCCAATAAGCAACAAGCAATCAATGCCCAGGAAAATGTCAAGAAACTGCAGCCCAGATGTAGTGGTGACTCCACCACTGTCCCTTTAACCAAGGAGGCCCATGACAGCCTCTCCAGGTTTTAAACGCTTGCCACTGAAGAATAAGCATGTAGGTGAGTGACACTCCACTCCACAGCCATCCACCAGCCCCCAGAGTGAGTAAGGCAACAGGCAGAAAGGCTGCCAGGAGATGTAACCCAATAGGGACCATAATTAACTCCCACCTGCAGGAAAGCAAAAATGTTTGAACAAGCCCATGATGCTTGAGTTAATCATACCTCCTCCTGTGTCACAACAAATGCTTGGGGCTGAGGAGGATGTCAGATAACAGTGATAAATTCTGGTTAAGAAAAATTGAATAATGCAAGGTGAAATTTTAAATTTGTACAACAGTCCTCATACAGTTGAGACATTTTTGGGTAAAAAAGTACTGCAAGTACAGTTGAAATTTTGGGAGGGGGGAGATCAATGTTTAAAGATTTGCAGAATTGTATGGACTGTTTGCCATAAGCAATACCATATATAAATTTAAATGGGAAGAGACGTGAGTATGGCAGCCTTCTTGGAAAATGTTTAAATTTGGGGGGAAAAGCAAGAGCTCAAAGATTCAAAACTCAAAGCACTTTTTGGTCTTTGGAGCCAAAGTGTGGTCTGTCCTTCCTTAGTTGTTCATTTCCACACAGATAAAGCTCCTGTCACTTCCACATCCCTGTGGCTGACTGACAGAGCTCAAACCTCACTGACACACAGGCACATCAGGAAGTCAGGGGGTTGTTTACCAACACAAGGTCTGTGGAAATGGGGATCAGACAGATACTGGCTTTCTGTGGGATGCCAAGAGCTTGCAGGAGAAGTTTCACTGTGCCCCAAATCTCTTCTGTAGGGCTTGGAGCCTTCCAGAACTTAACTCCTTCCAGATGAACCAAGTTTTATATAAGGCGTGGGAGGAGGAAACAAAGATACTTACTCTGGCAGATGCCAGCACACATTTAATTCAGGCTCTAACACCAGTGTTGATTAGAACAGCTTTGTGATCCTGGCAAAAAAATTCAAGTGACCTTGGGGAGACATATTTTTAATTATGAACAACTGGTAAGTTTTATTACAAAAATAACAGCCCTTCTTGAATGCATTTCCATCTTTTGTAGCCTTCTGCTCAGTGGCTCCTTCCCATAAGTGCCCCATACCCCTTGCATCACTGCTGTCCATGACACGCACACGTGTGCATTGCCTTAGCCTTCCCCTGACAACAGGCCCAGCTCTGTGATGTGCTACATACACTCGTCAAGAGGAAATGACTGCACGGATTACGATAACATGACTGCCGCTGAGTACCTTTCAGTTTCTACACACTTCCCACTGCATAGCCTTGGCTGCCTCTCCTGAAGACAGCTCCTGAACCCACCTATCTCCACTCAAGCTTTAACTTCGTGTTCAATTTCCATATGTTGCTTTCGAGCATTTCTCTTCTTGGCATCCCCTCAGGGCCTGATCCTGTGAGAGTAACTGTGCCGCACCTGAGAAGTGTTAAACAAGGCTGTGCGAATTGCCAAGTACGCTTTGGGTTTTGCTTTTTAAATTATCATTTTGAATAAAATTAAATGTAAATACTTTCAGATCTTTGTTTTGTTTACCCAAAACAATCCCTTCAATATTTTCCATTAGCTAGAATGAGGAGCTTAAATCCCTCCTATCCACCTTGCAGAAGGGTTTTTCAGAGCACCAGAATCTCATGGGTGATGCTCAGCCCCAGATGTCTTGTCCCTGCAGAGGCTCAGTTCTTTTCTCAGCTCCTTTCCCATTTGTAAGAACCCCAAATCTCATGTTAAGCCAAGCGCAGATAACATCTCCATACTACTCCCTCCCTAAGTACAATGAATATATTCAGGCCTTCGGACAGAACCTCCTGAGGCAAGGATTATGCTCTGTAGTATTACTTTTGTCATATTTTCCCTGTTGTAATGTTCCATGTACATTTATGTCATTTATAAAATACAATTAACAGACACAGTGGAATCCTCAATGGCCCAAAGAAGGGAATAACAGAAGTAGAGTAGCCCTGTACATTTTCTTCCTACAACTATGCTGGCTGTGGTGACCCATTCCCAACCAGCAAGTGAGTAGTAAAAATGAAACACAATTCTGAATATTTAAAAAGTATGGCAAAGCTGTCCATAGTTCTCTTTCACTTAGCAGAGACTTCATAACAATGTTCAGCTTCTCTCTGCCTGAAGACACTGACCCCTCTGTCCTCACAGCACACTTCACCTTCTTCCAGTGAGGTTAAGTCAGAACTGCTCTGACTTGCTGGCTTGTCCAGCCACCAAGAAAGCATCCAAACATGATCCTCCAAAATGAGCTATGGGAAGGCTTGTACCAGGTCACTAATCTTCCCCAGGAAACGCTGCTTCAACTTGGACCTAGCTGCACTTCCTTGTGGGTCCCTTCTAACTCGACATATTCTGTGATACTCACTATGGGACCAGCTGCCTCTTGTTTTCAATGAAAGGCATCAAAAGAATTTAGACTGCCACTTATTTACTAAGTTTCTAAATCAATGTAAATATACATTTTACAGTATTCAGTATTTCAGTAGTGTGTACACATACCTGTCTACTTGCAGGTCCAAGCCTATCATACCACCTCAGTGAGCTCCGCCCTACTGGGAGTTATTGTCACTGGGAGGATTGCATTCTGCCAGTATAGCCTGAGATTTTGTAGGCAACTGTCCTTCAAAAAAGCCCAAATTGTTTTTTTTAATATTTACAAATTAGTTTGTGCAAATAATTGATTATGCTCTAAAGTAACCGAATGAAACTAAAGTGACAAAAAAAACCCCAATCGGATCTATCTGAAGTATTGCTTTGCAGTTTTCTTTGCTGAAACAAAACAAATCCCATATATTTTGAAGTGAGGAAAGTGCTTTGTTTCATCCAAAATGTTTCATTTCGGTCACTTGCAACAGAAAGA